TTGCCCTTGAGGAGAAAGTGAATCTGTAGGAGGTGGAGAAGTGGCAAACCAAATTAAACCTGAAAAAGCTAGTACTTCAAATATAAAATACTAGAAGATTGACCCGGCATTGTTCGGGTCCTTAACTCAATCAATTTTTGTTTTTTTGGAAAGTAAAATCAAAATGTACATGCTTCATTTGAATCATTGCTCTGGGATGGGGCAGGGGATGAGGGATACAGTATGCCAGCTGCTCCAGGGAGAGAAGACTACCCCTGTCCTTTCTCTCTCAAATATCAGTAAATAGCTGTCCCTTTCTCCACCCCTACCCTAACTGGGTTACAGCTGTCCTGGTCCCCATCTCCAGCCCTTTGCTGCCCCCTCTGGTTATTTACACAGCATAACTGTCACTGCTTTCCAGCCTATATTATCTGCTGCACCCATAAGGTCATCATATAGTAGAGCCCTACCTTTCCGTTTTATTTTACTGGCACAACGAAACCCTTACACCTTGCTTTTAGTTAGAGGGAGCTGTATACCAAATTTGGTGCGCCTAGATTTTACCATTTAGGAGGAGTTCCTGAATAGACAGATAGATAGATGGACAGACACACTTACAGAAAAACTCTCTCAAATATATAGCAGATGTGGTAAACTGGGGCCTTGATTATCATCTTCAAAGTGCATTTTTGGGTTTCTTTTTGTATTATCTTGGTTTATCTTCTCTCTCAGATAATACTTTTTTTTAACAAAAAGGTAAAAGGGCCTTGACTCTTTCAGATTAAATACAAAAACCAGAGCCAGTCCACTCATTTAAGATCTATGCTGTGTGTTTATTTTTTAATTAAGAGCAGGGATCTACAAGCTAAATCTTCTCTTAAGATACTGCACTCTACTTCCCATAATTATTAATATTTACATTTTGGTAGTATCTACAATGTGCTAGCCACATCCATACAATAATTCCTGCCCCAAAAGAGTAGCTAGAAACTCTCCTAGTTTCTAATACTTACTATACTAACTGCCAGAGGGGATGTCTACACTACAGCGTTATTTCAAAATAATTAATTCGAAATAACACGTCTACACACAAAATGCATTTCGAAATAGTGTTTTGCTGGGCATCAGGTCAGGAGTTACTTTGTGTGGCTGCTGCCTGAGGCTATCTGAGGCCTGTGCTTAAAGGGACCCCTCCTGGACAGCCGGTTCTCAGGTTTTCATGCTTGCTTGCCTACTTTGATGAGGGACAGAAAAACATTTTGTCTCTGTGTGCTCTGGTTGCCCTCACTCGGGACACCACAGCACTCTGCAACATGGAGCCAGAGCTGCCCCTGGGCACTTTGGTGCTTCTTGTGGACGCGTTGCTGCAAGCCTGGCTGCACTTGCTGCAGGCTGCCATCTGGGAGGTCCATCAGGGTGCTGTCAGTATCCAGAAGACCCTGTGGGAGAGCTTCCACCCTGAGGAGCACTAAGAGCCTCCCTGCTCTACCCCACTGGGGGCTTGTGCCTCATTCCTCCCTCACGTCCTTCGACTTATCCCCCCCCCAACCTCTCTTCCTGATGTCAAATAAAATACACGTATTTTCATGAACACAAACTCTCTTTATTTAACAAACCTGGGGGAGGGGGAATGAAACTCTGGTGAGACTAGGGAAAGGAGGAGGGAGAGGGGAGGAAAGAAGTTGGGAGAGGGTAGGAAGAAACCTGGGAGGACGGAGCTGGAAGGGGGAAGCAAGGAGAAGAAGGGGGAGGGGAAGCTCAGGGTTGCGGGTCTCACCGGTTTTCATGCAAACCTGCTCCCGCGTTCGCATGTGGCCTTTGGTGGCCAGGCTAGCAGCTATCCTGCCATAGACGGCCACGTTCCTCCATGTAGTGCAGAGATCATGGACACTGGGGGCATCCCCCCCAAACCTGAATAAGGTCCATGATCTCTGCCCTGGACCAGGAAGGCGCCCGCCTTCTCCAGGCCCTGGCAGGCTCCTGGGAGCTGGCAGACTGCACCTGGGGAGCGTTGGAAGGCTGGCTGCCAGTGGCTTGCTGGATCATGTCTTGGGGCCACTGGGTCAGGGGCAATGACTGCTGGCTCTGGGCTGGCAGGCTTGGAGCTGGCACAGGCACTGTGGCCAGAGTCTACCCCTTAAAGGTCTTCGGGGAGAGGAGTGTTCTTGGTTGAGGCTGGAGTGGCCACCAGGGCACCCTGGAGGCCCGCTATTTCGAAATAAGTGTCTACACACCACTTATTTCAAAATAGCTATTTAGAATTTGGTGTTATTTCTCATGGAATGAGGTTTACCAAATTTGAAATAAGTGCTCCGCTATTTCGATTTAATTTCGAAATAGCGGTTTGGCTGTGTAGACGCTAGTAAAGTTATTTCTAAATAAGGGCTGTTATTTCAAAATAACTTTGGTGTGTAGACATACCCATATAGTGGTATTGTACACCATTAAAGAGCAGCTACATTTCATTCAAAAGGTGGCTGCACTTCAGTAGTTGAGGAAGTTGTCTGCTCATGTTGCCTTTTCAGCACCTCATGGTTTGTGAGGATAAATTTATTTAATGCTTAAAAGATCCTTAGATTAAATGGTTAGTATAAGTTTTAAGTATCCCCTGAGAATGACTCTCTCTTTTCCTTATTTAACTCCATCCAAAAGGAACATTACCAGAGTCTCCCACCTGGTATACTCAGTGAATCATACCTAGCCCAAGTGAAAGGATGAAGTCATCTTCTCTTTCTGGACTACCTTTTTCACTATTTGCATGATTATTACATTGACATTTATTGCTGTGAGCGCAATATACCAGCTGCCATGCGATATGAATAAGTAGAATAAATGTTGATATATTGATAAGGAATCCTTCTAAACAAACCTTTTAACATCTTTGCAAAAGACAACAGGAACTTTGGCATGGAAATCTGACTCCACATCTGAGTAGATAGCTAAACAGGAAGAAAAGACAAAAATATAACCTATAAAAGTCTTTTATAGTTCTCCCTAATAGTTTCTTTTAGCTTCTAGATTCAAATTAAATACAATTAAACTGCAGGTGCCATCTCTCGAAATGCTTTCTGATCACTTTGGATTCTCACATTTAATAAGGAAAGGTTATTTAGCTTACAGTAATGATAGTTCTTTGAAATGCATTGTTCACAAGGACTACATTCTTGGCGCACATGCAACTCATGCATCAGATTATTTTTTGCCTAGCAATGTCCACTGGGGATGCATCTGCCCCTTCAATATCCTCCCTTCCCTTCCCCACCTCCCACTACCAATGGCAGAAAGGGCTAAGGAAGCCTACATATCCCTCAGTTCCTTTGCTGAAACAGAACCCAGAGGACTAGGACTCTATGGGTATGTCTACACTGCAGCGCTTTTTCGGGATAACATTTGTTATCCCGAAATAGCATTCTGCATATCTTAACAGCAAGCCCGTTATTTCAAAATACATTGGAAATAATGGGCTTGTTATTCCGATGTCCCATAAACCTCATTGCACGAGGATTAAGGGACTCATTGGAATAGCTCTCTATTTCGAAATTAGTGCTATTCAAAATAGGCTATCTGGAAATAAGCTACATAATTTGCATAGCTCAAATTGTGTAGCTTATCTCAAGCTACCTGCTACTGTGTAGATGTACCCTACAGTAGCAGTAAAGGAGGCTAGAGCATGAATCCAAATGGAGAATGCCTCTTTAAGAACCACAGTTACGGTAACATAAGTAAGCAATCATTCTTTCTTCTTTGAGTGATGGCCCACATGGATTCCATTCTTGGGAACAAACAAGTGATTACCCGTTTGCTTGGAAATGGATTAGAGAAATCTTACTTAAATAATTACAGAACAAGCATGTGAAAATTGGAACTTCTACCTAAGTACAGTGTCTTGGAAATGTGTAGACTGATCTCCACATAGCTGCCCTACAAATTCCAGAAATTGAACAGTCTTCAAACTGGCAACATAGGCTCATAATGTCTATTGGGATGGGCCTCATATGTCTCAGTGTATCTTTGATACCATCAGGTAGAGAAAAGGGGGGAAAAGCATGACTTCAAAAGGCCAAGCTGTTTTAATGTGAGAAGTACTTGAGGGTCTTTGGTATTGAAGCCTGGATCAGGTCCAGAACCTCGTGAGCTGCCCATATTGAGAACCATTTCCATTTGGTTTATGTTTTCCTGCTCTCTATCAGGATTTCCTAGACCTGTAGGGAGCAATCTCTGTCTATGGTACTCAGCTAGCCACTGCGTCAGTTGTGGTGACTTTGGGTTTTGGTGGTATATCTGGCTGTGGTGCTGTGAGATGGCTTTGGGGTAGGCTGAATGGCCATGTGTATTAGTTCTATCAGTCAACACTTGCTAATGCAAAATATTAGAATAATTATGGATTTGTCTCTTGATTTTAGAAGTTTGGGGAGCAGGGGAAATGCTATGAGATCCATGCAGAAGGACTTACTACCCAATAACTACCCTAGGTTCACAAACCCTCTGGAACAATAGTTCTGGCTCTTTGCATTGACATTGATGGCTCCCCCAATGCAATAATATTGGCTCTATGATGGACTTCCTCAGTGTACATTCGTTTGCGGTAACAAACTGATTGCCAGGTTGCTGATTCCTAGGAGGTGAAGAACTCTATGGTGCTGGCACTATGTCCAGAGCTTCATAGTTTCTAGACCTAAGAGGAACAAGCATACACCACCTAGCTTGTTTATAGTGCATTGCTGACATGTGGTCCATCACAATTTGCACTTTGGGGTTTTGGAAAACAGATAGGAAGGCAATGAGGTTAGTGTTATGGGTCTGAGCTCCAGGAAGTTAATGTGAAGTACCATGTTTTCTAGAGACCAAATCACATGCCTCTTTAAATTGATCCAGGTGGACTCTCCAAGCCCATTCCTGACACATCTGTGATTATTGTCCTCAAAGGGCAGGGAACCTACTGTACACATCTGTGGGTTCCTTCCACCATCTGAGTTCTGTGATGATACCATGATCTTCTCATATATTTGGTGTTTTGCCAGGGAAAAGACCAATCTGAGCCAGGGATGAAGTATGGCAAAGTGCACAATGACATCTGGTTTAGCAACCCCAGACATGTTTCACCCATCCTAGACAGGTATGATTCTATCCCAACCAATAGTGACTGCACTGAAACCTATCTTTATGGAGATATACTCTTGGTGACCTGGAGTCAATTATGACTCTTTTGTACTCTATCACCTTCAATATAGTAAAATTATTTTTTGTAGTTTACTTGGAGGGCCAACAAAGAAACACAATGTCCATTCCAGGCTTGCTGCCATCTCCTTCTGGGATCTGCACTGCTTCAGCCAGTTGCCCAGGTAAGAAAGAGTAGATATGAATACCTGTCCTGCTGACATGTGCCACTACTATCACCAGGCACTTTATTAAGACTCTTGGTTCCATGGAGTCCAAATGGCAGTAGAGTGGACCCCACCATAAATCTTAAGCATTGCCTATGAGATGGACAGCTATGTGGAAATATATAACCTGCACATCAAGAAATACCCTTCAGTTTTAAGCAATATAGACAATAATTTACATCCTGAATCCAAGGTGGGGTATATACACATTAAGTCTCCGCAGGTAGAAGATAGGACGAAAACCACCTTTTACTTTGGGATAAGGAAACATTGGGTTTAGTATCTCTTGAATGCCTCCTAGACAAAGCAATGAGGCCACTTCTGTATATAACAGGCTCTTTTGGGAAGGATACCTGCAAACATATGGGGAAGACAGCTGAAATATATAGAGTAGCTGTGAGCAACAACAATTAATGCCCACTGTAAGCTGTGATGACCATATAGGCCTTGGGAAAGTAGCAAGGTGGTTCCTCAAAGCAGGAGGCAGCTCTAGATTGGTCCCCATCATAGACAAGTATGATTCAGTGCTCCTGTTAAAACTGCTGCCTTTGAGAGGCTTACCGAGGAAGCACAAGATGGGAGCCCCTGAAACATCTGGGCTTCTCTCTGTGTTGGTATTCCAGATGAAAGAAGCAGTCCTCTCTTTGCTGGGGACAGGGTTTGCATAGTCTTCTATAGAGAGCAAGTCTGTAGATTCCCTGGGACCGCATTGTGACCTTTAAGTCACTGAGGTAGTGAAGACCGTAGTCCACCCTCTGGCTGAAGAGCTCCAATCCCTCAAAGGCCAAGTCCTCTACAACAGCCTATACTTTGCACAGTACACTGCCCAGTTGCCTGGAGACATGAGACCATTTGTCTCAATGTGACATTGTCTCCTTGACCTTATGGACATATCAAACGGACCATGGCTACTATAATGATCTCAAGATCATCTGAGATCTCTTTTTAACACTTTGTGGTCTGCTTTAAACTTAACTATCTTGAGTAATATTGTATCATCTCCAAACTCTGCCACTTCTCTGTTTACCCATTTTTACAGATCGTTTGTGAATATGCTGAACACCACAGATCCTAGTACAGATCCCTGAGTGATCTATTTGCCTCTCTCAATTCTGAAAATTAACTATAAACTCCTATCTTTGTTTTCTATCTTTTAACCAGTTACTGATCCAGGAAAGGATCTTCCATCTTATCCCATGGCTAATTACTTTGCTTCAGAGCCTTTGGTATGGGACCTTGTCAAAGGCTTCCTGAAAGTACAAGTACACTACATCCACTGGATTACCCTTGACCAACATATGTTGACCTTGTCAAAGAATTCTAATAGATTGGTGAAGCATGATTTCCCTTTAAAAAAGCTGAACTGACTCTTCTCCAACAAATCACGTTCATTTATGTGTTTGATTATTGTGTTCTTTACTATATTTCAACCAATTTGCCTGGTACTGAAGTGATACTTATCAGTCTGTAATTGCCAGGATCACTCTGGAATCTTTTAAAAAATGTATTACATTGTCTGTCCTCCAGTCATCTGATACAGAAGCTGATTTAAGTAACAGGTTGTATACCAGAAAGTAGCTCTGCAATTTCATATCCAAATTCCTTCAGAACTCTTGGATGAATACAATCTGGTCCTGATGACAAATGTTCCCTCTAATATTTTCCATACATGTGTGGAATATTTGTATGTGCACCAAAGCATGTGTGAATGTGCACCACCACTAGAAACATAAAACCTTGTTGTAGGCACTCTGCTAATCAGCTGGACAGCATGTGAATCTCTCCTGAGCATCTGCACAATTGCTCAGCTTACAGGGAACACTACTGGTAACTTATTACTGTTTAACTTATCAATTTGTTCCAAAACCTTTTCTACTGACATCCCAATCCAGGACAGTTATTCAGATTTGTCACCTAAAAATAATGCCTCAAAAGTGGGAATTTCCCTCAGATTCTCTGCCGTGAAGACTAATGCAAATAATTAATTTAAGTTTCCCCCACAATGGCCTTGTCTTTAACACTTTCATCATCCAGTGGCTCCGATGACTGTTTGGCAGGCTTGCCACTTCTGATGTACTTAATTTTTTTGCTGTTACTTTTTGTGTCTTTTGTTAGTAGTTACTCAATTTATTTTTGGCCTGCCTAATTATACTTTAATACTTGACTTGCTTGAGTTTATGCTCCTTCCTATTTTCCTCAGTGTGACTTAACTTCCAATTTTTAAACCATACTTCATCATTAACTGCCTCTTTTACTGTGTTATATAGCCATGGTGGCATTTTTTAGTCCTCTTATTTTATTTGGGGTATACATTTAATTTGAGTCTCTATTATGGCATTTAAAAAGTTTCTGTGTGGCTTGCAAGCATTTCACCCTTGTGACTTTTTCTTTTTTCTTGAAGTTAAATGCTATCATTGTGATCTTCCTTGGTATTTTCTCTCCACCAGGATGTTAAAATTTAATTACAGTAATCACTTTTACTGATCAGTTCACCTATATTCAGCTCTTGAATCAGATCCTGTGCACCACATAGAATTAAACTAAGAATTGCCTCTCCCCTTGTTTCCAGAAGTAGCTGCTCCAAGAAGCAGTCAATGTCAATCTAGCACCATTCACTAGCATTAAGTAAGAAAGAGCACAGTAAAACCATAATTTCTATCCTTTTTATAATTAAAATATTTGGTATGCTTTATGTTGTAATTTTCCCAGCAACATTAGCCCAAAAAGCAGGTAAGCAAGCAAGTATTAATTACAGATGAAGAAGTTAACTCACCACTGTTTTTTAAAATGTCAAGCACCTGTATCAGAACATCTGGGTGACTCATCTAAAAATGAGGACCAAGCAAAAATAAGACAGGTTATTTTATTCAGACCCTGAATTACTGAATTTTATAATTAGATTAACACATGTAAATTGTACAAGTTAAATACAACAGGTTTATCGTCAATTTTTCTACAATAATTCATTGTAATCATTTACTGATATATATGAAAAATGTTAAACATATTCATCCATGGAGTCCGGCAGGATACAAAATTTTGTATCCACATCCACATCTATGTCTGTAAAAATGAGCCACAGATATCTACGTCTGTGGATACCTACAGACATAAAGCAGATATCCACGGATTTACAGGACTCTATTCATGTACTGCCTGAAAGTGAGTGCTAAAAAATAATTCAGATATCTTTCTATTTCAAGTTATATTCTCTGAACTCTTCTAATACACCCATATGCTTCAGCTACCCATTAAAAATAACTTGAGTACTTAAGTACTGACATTGAAATCTGAATCCTCTCATGACTGTGTTTGGCTATAAGTGTTGGCTTTTGAGCTTGTCAAATAAATACATAGCATAAAGTTTGATTTATTTAATAAATTTTGTTCAAGGAGCACATTTTTAAACATGGAAAAAATCTTTTTTCAGAAGCCTAATATACTTATAAAAAAATATTTTAAAAGCAAACTGAAAATATGTTACCAAAAATGAATTAAAATTTTGTTTTCATGTGACCAGAGTATCAACCAAGAATAGATACAGTGTACTAAGTCTACATTTGCTTTAAAGGGTATCCCAAAGTAGCTCCAACTTATCCTAATTATTGCAACACCTCAGAATGCAATACTCAGAGAGATGCACCCCAAAGTATCAACACAGATGTCATGAACTTCACTGGAGTGACACAGTCAGCCCAATAGAACACAGCTTAGTAAGATTTTTGAGTATGTTTTTTCGGAGGAGTTGTTTTTTGTGGTTTTAATAATGTGGCCTTTTTCTTCCATTACATTTTTATTACATTAAAGATGGTCACATCACATATTAAAAAGATGCACCAATAAACTTAGCCTCCTAGGACACGTCTATTCAGCACAGCAAAGTCAAATTAAGCTACACAACTTCAGCTACGTCAATTGTGAAGCTAAAGTTGAAATAGCTTAATTCGGCTTTTGGCACGGTCTACACAACAAGAAGTTGAAGAAAGAACACTCTTCCTTCGACTTCTCTTACGCCTCGTGAAATGAGGGTTACAGAAGTTGCTCGCTGTGTAGACGCACATTTTGTTATTTCAAAATAACGTTAGTTATTCCGAAATAAAGCTGCTGTGTAGCTGTACCCCTGTTGGCCATGTTCATTTTAAAAAAACTGAAATTACAGCTACCACACAGATGTAATTTCCCTGAAACAATGCAAAATGAAAACTTTTGTCAATTTGATTTACATTATATCAAAATACCAAACAACATTCAAACTATGTGCTACTTTTGCCATTACAACAATTAGCCTTAGTGGAAGATAAAGACAATGGAACAGATATAAAGTGCAAGTTACCGACTTTTTTTAGTTAAGACAAGATACTACATACCTTGGAGGGAAATTTTATGTCAATATTAACATCACTGGTTTTAAAAGCAAATCTAGTGAGACAGGAGCCATACATCCTCAGTGAACATTCTGGAAAACAGAGAAAGGTGTTGTCACTGGGCTGACTATCTTCAGTACACCCTCTCATGGCTTAGGCAATGTATACCTTTATCTCTCTTCTTGGACTATTCTAATGAACTTCCTGTCAGGCTTTGTCTTGGTCAAAAATGGCTCTCTTTGGGGACTGGGTTTGTTAGTAAAATTCAAATTCTCAAAACAAAGTCCACACAACCCAACATTTCTCCTCCTTCTCCCAGGCCTTCTTACCCAGGGTCTTAACAGTCTCTCCCCTGGTTGGAAAGGGTCTTTCCACATACATCAGTACCGGGGATGAAGATAGTGACAAGTCTTACAGCCTAGGTGAAATTACTTGGGCCTGTGCTAGGGGATGTAGTAAGATGAGGGCCTGAAACAAAAGCACATCGAGCACAGGCCTGGTTTGAGACCTGAGGCTAGCTAACGATGGACAAAACTTGGCTAATATGAAGCAAAGCTAAGCTATGAGCAAGAGGCAGGCCCCCGCTCACAGACACAACAGTGTAAAACACTAATTGGCAATAGGTCCAGGT